AATAATGCACAGCAATAACAACAAAGTATTTTAGTTAGAATCAGAATAATTTTAAGAAATGCATTGAAAACAGAACTATCCAGTGTAGGAGGAGCATCAGAAAGAATTAACTGTGGAGTTTTACTAGTTTTGCTGGGGTGCAGCAGGGGAAAAATCAGCCATAGCAAATAAGGATAGAATGATCCAACAAGAAACCTGGTTACTGCCTCAGAGCTCCTGAGGCAGTAATCTCAGGATTACTTCTGTTTTCTGTAACTCCTTGTTGCATCTGCCTGTTATTTTCCAACTCATCTGTGTGTACCTCATAAAGGGTACCTGTGTGTATTTTACACCTTCAGTCCCTAGAGATATTACCACATATTCCTAGGGATGATTCTAGTCACAACAGAAATACCACATCCCACAAACCTATTGATCATCATCAGGTTAAGACAGGCTGAGAAGAGAGTTCATATTCCAGCAAACCTGCAGCAAATTTAGTCTTTGCTGGGAAATGACCCACAGATGGGCATCCTCCCATGAGCAGGGGAGGTCACCTTTGTTCCTTTCCCTGAGGTCTCTTCAGCTCTTGTCATGTCAGAGGAAAGAGCACAGCATGAGAATCAAACAGGATCCAAGTACAATTCTCAGCACAGGAAAACAGATGGATGTCATGCATAAATACTGCTGCAGACAATTTAGCAGTCAAGGCAGTATGTGAATTATCTTGGAGCCGATTCAAGCAGGATATAGAGGTCATCTCGATGGAAGACCCTGCATCCTTCAAATCCCTAGCAGTGAATCAAATGATGGTGAAATACAAAGCCTATCAGGCAAAAGAGAGCAGAAGTAAAACAAGAAATGTGCTTCTGATGACACAGAAACTTGGGAGGAAATATCTACAATCTCCATCATGTGCACAGAGGTTTAAAAAAAATCAAATTAATTACTAAATATCCAGAATGACAAGCATACAAACAGCAGGACCACATCCTTATAGAACCTTCTGCCTCCTCCCTCTGAACAGCTACTCACCAGGGTGGAAAACTTAATGTAACAAGATCAGCTTTGCTATGAAAAGTGCAGATGGAGCATATGCCTGTAGATAGTAACGGTATCCGTATTACTGCAGCGTCTGAAGACCACAGTCAAACACAGGCCGTTGAACACTCAGAGAAAGCTCTCAAAGAAAATTCCTGCCAAAAATAGTTTACCATGTGAACTAAGGGGAATGCAACCTGTGGATTTAATTAAACCATCTGAGATAACCTGGCAACCAAACATGCAAAACAATCAGGTGAACACACAGGTATGATCAACTTCGACAGCATCCTGCAGAAAACTGCTACAGGCATGTGCTGAAGGGGTTGGTTTGGTTGAAACTTGCAAGTTACATTTTGCAAAACAGTTCTTTCAGTCTTTGAATTAGATTAAAAAATGAAACTGTTAAAGAGACTCCAAATTTTAGTTGGCCACCTGTTTGCTCTAAGAGAGCTCGCAATCAGCTGTGGTAATAAGAACATCACCTCACATTATCCGAAGATTATTTAGACCACATGATTTCACTGAAGGTTTCAACTCACTTGTGATCTCTACTGGTCGAATGTCATGTCCTGTCTATAGGCACATGAAGTAAGTGCCTTTTGCTACCTCACAGTGAATACAAAGCACACAAACCAGAAGGAAACCTTTCCCAGAATTCATGCTTAGTCCTTATTGTATGGGCCCATCACACATGGACTTCTTTTATTAAATCTACCGCATTAAGCCTACACAGTTAAAATTGTACTATGATGATGATACAACCCACCCCCATCATCTTTTTCAAAAACCTCCATTTAAAAAGAGGAGTTTGTAAACAGGGGAAGGAATAATCCCCTGCAAAGTGCAACATGTGTGAACTGTTACCTGTTTTGTTTGCTTTAAAATATCTTGGTGAGGTGTATCAACGTTGTACAGAGTATCATTATCATTCACGTTACATCCACTGTAGGACAACAGGTAAATTGAAGCATCATTTTTCCATTATGCCAAAAGTAGAATTTCCTTGAAATAATTTATTGAGTAACATTTGTCATCATTTTAAAAGGTCAGCAGCTCGTACAGTAGAAGTTGAGGAGTTCAGCATCTTTAAAGTCAATAGTGACGACCTAAATAACAATCACTATTAATCTAGTAATCAGCAAGGTGGCATGTAGCTACCATAGTAACAGGCATATGATCAACTGTTTGCTTCCAAGAAATGCCTACACTTCACTCAGATCCTTTGCCACAATTTTTAAAGACATGATGAAAAAAATAAAAACACATCCTGCATCTCAGAACTTGCCTCTTTCTCTGCATTTCATCAGCAGAAGAGAGGTTTCATTCTCAAAAGAGCATTTCAAGAGTTTTAATGAGGTCTCGCTACTTACTGTGAGACAAAGCCTCCAGAGCCCTGCTCAGTACCAGCCCTACCAATCGTACCTGGGGAGAGTGCACACCACCACAGAGACAGCACGTGCCCTAGTGTGAATCACCTTCCCAAGCATTTCTACAAGGGTTACACACAGAGATTATTTCGTGCAGCAGCCACAGTAAAAGCAGATCTTGGTATCTAAAGGTTACACACCTTTTTTAATATGCTCTCAACTGTTGTAAGTAACTCCAGCTAATTATTAATAGCCACTTCTGTTCTTTGCACTTTACAGACATCTCTCTCCAATCTTATTTATATTAAACTCTCACACGTACAGAACTCAAATATCCAACAGGGGCAGGGAAAGGCACAAAGCAGGGCCACAGAGGCACTCAGGGCTGAAGGGGTAAGGATACACAGGTGTTCTGGCTTTCAATCCACTCTACCATCACTTATTTAAAATCTATACCTCTAGCACAGATATTTTTTATTATTATTATATTTTTAATGTTTGTAACACAGGCCAGTGACTGAATAATGAGAAAGTCAGGACAAACCTTCAGAAATGTGGGGGCTGAAGCTAACAGGTTTGTATTTTCAGGAAGGAATTAGCCTGGTGTCACATAAAAATATACATATTATTCTGAATTTCCTTGTTATGGTAAAAGCTTGAGGAGTACCTGTAGGCGTTATATTAAAACTTAAGTGCTGTTGAGTATCCCTATCTAGACATTTAAATTACCCCTATGGGATGTCTGTCTGAGAAAGTCCAGCCTGCCTTATGGCAAAACTAATCTTCACATAGCTGTTTCACTTTTCATCCTTGCACCTGCTTGTATTAACAAGATTAAGAATTAAGCTCTCAGAGGGCTGTCTGTCATGGACTACCAATTTATCTATTAATTTAATCATCAGAACCACAACCAAACAGAGCTCCAGGCCTGGGCAAAGGGAAGGTATTTATTGTGTTATAACGCAAAGTCTAAAAGGCAAGCCCTTCAGAAGTCCTGCTTATGGCAGGCTGTCTCACCAGACTGTGCAGAGGATTTTTTTGTAAAAGGATATTCTTATTTAACTGTTAGGGCCAGAGGGATGATTTTGCATGTGATTTCTCCACATGGTTAGAAAAATATAAAGAAATTCTGTCTTCTGAATCATGTGCAGGTCCAAGCTAAGTCATTCAGAGAGTATTTAAACAGGAGTGCACATGCTTATCTTTATGAAACCAGGCTCCATTCATGGAGCTCATATCTCCTCACCTCAAGCCAAAGCTTAATACAACACAGTCATGTCAGTGCTGTCTGCTCAAAGGAGTTTGTTACTATCTATCTCCAAGCAGAACCTGCTAGTTCAGAGCAGTTTTTGCCATCCTTATTAACTGCCACAACCTACATGCTCACAGAATAAAACTCAAAATCACCCATGTACCAGAGACCCAGGAGTAGAGAATGAATGAAAGGGGAATGCAGTGTAGTAAAATAAGAAGTTTTTTTTAAAGTTGAATGCCATAAAAGAAGTGGTAAGAATTCGGTCCAAGGAGACGCAGGAATGTTTATTATTTGGGTACTGCTTTGAAGCTCTGCAGCAGCTTTTTATTTATTATTATTATATACCAATTTTGCTGATATGCTGAAGGTGACTGCTACAAGAAGCCATCCCAAAGTTTGGGATAATCAATCCTTTGTTAGAAGATCAGACTGAAAATACCAAAAGTTTCACAGATCAGTTTTATTTACTAAAAGAAACAGAGCAAAAATATATCCAAAATATACACTGTAGGAAGCAAGGCACATAACAAAGGAATCCAAAACAAACCACTTTCAACAAGCCAGGCACAGGAGAGTGACTCCCTGCAAGTGACAGCACTGCAAGGAAACAAACGCTGTTTGTTCTCAACTGACTGCACTTCCGCCTCCTCCCCTTTCATTCAATACTTAGTACTAGTGATGCTCCCTCCATCTCCATGACATGCTGGTTGCAAATACTTTTATCTCTGTGAGGAAAGCAGGCTGGAGAAAGCATACGATCACATGGTAAGTTTATGCTTATATTTGCTGATATGAAGGAGAAAACCCTTCCACAAAATAGGTCATTTAATTAGTAAACGCGGTTAAATATGAAGTATAATTGTGTGGAGCTTGTGGATCTTAGGTAAATTCAGCAGGGGAGTGTGTGCTTAGGGAGCAACTGGGACAGCTGTATACATCTGCAACCTTTGCTGTAAAAGCAGTAAATGCTGCACAGTCAGTGAAAAACAGAATAGCTTCCTCCAGTTCTTTCCTTTGTGCTAGGAAGTCTGTTGCCCGAATGCTATTGATCCTGAAGGAATTCAGCTCAAAGTCAGCTGAGACAAACCAGAGCCCCTCACCACCCCCCCTCCTATTATTCGGTACACACTTCCCTTCCCACTAGCTTGCAGTTCTGACAATGCAGGGAAAGAGGAGAAGAATGGCAGAGGGAAGCAGAGCACAGCTGTACGTTGCAGAATCTCTCCATATTCATTTGAAAAACAAAGCCAGTATTCAGAAAGACAAGGAAGATGCAATAGGACCATACCGAATCCATGCCTCTGAGCAGCAAGGGGCTCTCTAACAATGCATTCAAGCAACAGATAGAGATTTACCTTCAAAATGCAGGCCATGTTCTTTCTCTATCCTTCCTGCCACAGAGCAGCAGGATTCTACTTTGTGAGCAGCAGTTCCAGTGTCAGGAAAAAGGCTGGTAGAGCTGCAGAACTGCTAGAGCCTACATTCCTGTAGATCCAAATAAGGGTACCACGCATCCAGGATCCGTTAGTCATATTAGTCTTTTTATGCTCCGTTCGTTCCACCCATCAGCTCCTACCACTGGCTGGGAGCCAGCCCAGTACCTCCCCTCCGTCACATGACGGAGTTTGATTCATGGCTCCAGCATGTATTTTCGTAAGCTCCAGGACGCTCTCGCACAATACTATACGTACAAATGGCAATCTATAGCATGCAGATGTTTTGCAACAGCTGGAAATCAAGCCGCATGCTTATAATTAATCCCTGTGCCACTCTACATGTTCTCAGGAGACAGCTGCTGCCACTCGGTCAGGAAAGTCCAAATTCTAATCAATCATTTGGGCTCTGAAAAGATCCTAACACGGCTTGTTATAGTTCAGCACTTTTCATTGCACAGACGGCTTCCCTATGAGAGGGGATCGTTATCAGCAACAAACACAAGTATCCCACCAGAGGTGCCTGTGCTGTGCTGCATGTACCTTTTTGTGTAAAGGGCTGGCATACATCACAGGGAATAGAAAGTGTGGGTTGGTGTGGGTATTTTTTGTGTTGTGGGGTTTGGTTTTGCTTGGGTTTTGAGGTGTTTTTTTTTTTTCAGGAGGCAGGTATTATTTTTATTTGTGCAAGTCTGATACAGGCTCTCTGAACTATGTTTGGACTTTTCTACACTGTTGTGGGATTAACTGCAGATAAATACATACAGCTGTTGAAGAAATAGTTCATTTTGCATTATCTCATCAAATTCAAATCCTTACCTTACATACTATGTACTGTATGAATATACACTATATATATACAAACAAATACGGAGGTTTTACTTCATGTTTGTCACTTCTCCTGCAGTCTCTTTCTCCCCCTTTTTTGTTTTCCCAGTACTTCTCATTACTACATCTTGGAACCCTCTGCATTTTCTGTACTTGGCACCTTCCCTGTATTCCTTGTGTGCTACATTGCTTCACTCCTGCTGCTTTAACACACACCATCTCCCTCTCCCTTAATAAATTCCTTGTAGCGGATGTCTTCATCCTCTCTGCAGTGACTCAGGGTACCTGTTTACATGCAGCCAATACACTCCAGTTAATGTTATGAAACTGCTCACCACAGAGCTCCTTAATATGTGGCATACAGAAGGTGTTAGCACTGAGCTGCACCTGTAATAGCCAATTCTATTCCCTGTCTGGCAAGCCTCTACTATTCAGGTGCATTCTCTCAAGACAGTAAGTAGGTTGAAACTGAAGGAACTAGCTGTCCTCATTTCCATGCAGGGGCAAATCCTCCCCAAGAAAAAAAAAAACAGAAAGGGGCTGGGGAGGTTTTCTCCAGGCCACACTCCCTGGCTGCCTTACCATGCCCTACCAAAGGAGATGCCAATTTGTCTTTGGCCTTTGCACCACCATTTTACATGGGTCCTGCAAACTCCTCAGCAACTCTCACCACTGTAAATCCACCTCTTTGCTCAACTGAAATTTGCTCCAGATGAAAATTGTAGTATTGCTGGGGAGACTAATAAAAAGAAATTTAAATTTCTAACTAAGAGTTGTGTAACAAAAGGAAATATTTAAACAATGAATCAGTGGAAGAAGCTTGTGAGAAAGGGACCATTGGTCTTTTTCTGCTAGAAGCTACCACCAATCAGTGTTAACTCATTCTGGATTACAGTTTGTGCCTCTCTAAAGAGTAGTTATTCATAAGGAATTATGCACCAAACCTCTGGTTCTTAATAAGATACACTTTTTCTATTTTGTTTCCAATTAAAAAAAAAAAACGCCTATTTTTCTCTCCAGCAGTGAAGAATCCAGTTTTTCTGGGACTGAAACTATTCCTTCCCTCTGTGTAATGGGCTTAGGAAACATTTCCATCTGAGACAAATGAAAGATACTCCATCCCCTTCCAAGCTCCCACCTTTACCAACTCTGGAAAGGGCAAAAGGAAAGAGACTTGGATATAGTCCTGAAAAGTTCAACCATTTCAATATGTCCAAAGCATTGAGGGATTTCCAGTGAATGATATTCCTTGAGGAAATACAGAGATATGGGTAGGTGTCTTAAGTATTTCTCTGACAGACTTTGATTCCAAACACCACATCAGACAAAGTATGTTGACCTTTTACTTTTAGACTTTCTGTAAATGGACATTAAACTTAAAGATATTACATCATTACTTCACTTCAGCAACAGCCACCCTTCCTTCCCTCCTGCCCTGTGACTCACCACAATCCAACCACCTCATATCCAGCAGCCTGCTGGGATGTCACTAGGACACCTTTTTAATGGCATAACAAACATAATTTCTTAGATTGTCCAACAGGCAGCTACAGCCCCTCTATAAAACTTAGAAATACAGTCAAATGGATTTCCTGGAATACTAAAAGTGCTCCAAGTGTCCATGAGTGGCTCACCACATGCAGAGGGTGCCATAGCTCCTATTGGCCATTCCCAGCTAGCAGGGACCCTTGCAGCAGCAGCAGCTAGCGTTTCAGAAAATGCTCTGCTGGTGCTTGTAAGCACAAGCCATAGGAAACTCTTGTGTTTGTTCCCTGCAAATGCAGGCAAAACTTGAATTTTCTCTTCCACAATTTAATGTAGAGAAAACCTAAATGCATGCCTTTTAGAAAAATACGCACTTTTCTGTAAGGAACGGCGAGAGCTTCCACTTTATTTGCGCCTGAGGACAAGAACGGAAGGTGTGACTCCAGCTGAGATCACCACAAAAAGCAGCAGAAACCCCAGTTTTAGGCTTACCTAATTTTACCTCAGAGAAACTACATGGGGAAATGCATCCACCAAACAGAAAAAACAAACAAACTCTGTCAACTCATCTTTTCCATGAGCCTCATGAAGTGTTTTACTTGAACTTTAAATGCTCTTGAAATCAGCTTTAGGTCAAACATAGCTCACACAAATTTCAGTCACACCTACAACTTTCTGTACAAATTTAACATGGTTGTTGTTGCCTGCTAGGGATGTCAGAGGGAGCATGAAACTTCCTTTCAAGTCTGAGTCATTATAACACTAAGATGTTACTGTTAGTTCTGGGGACAAACACCTTGCATATTTACCATCTTGTCCAAACCTTTCCAATACATTTGTATGGGGGAGCAATCTTAGGGAAAATATGGTTGTTTGGGCAGCAACTCTTTGCAATTCTAGGTCTTAAAAGCTAATTCTGTCATAATAAAACAATCCTTTGTGGGGAAGGCTGATTAAACCTCCATTTGCCAAGGTTAATACAGCTACACAATACCAGCATTCAAGTAAGAGTTTCTCTGTACTTCCAACAGAGCAAGTTCTGCAGGGCCAGCCTGTGCCATGAGTACTGCCAGATTGGTTTGCTAGGTGAAGGGACATCATACAGCTGATGTTACCTCTTGTAAGAGCTTCAAAGCCAAACCCTCACAAGTAGGTAACAGATTTAAACATTGTTACTCTGTTAAAACCATTCTCTCTATTTTAAAAGTGAATGCTTAGAGAAACTCTGAGAACTATCATCTTCTCACTAACTGTTGAAATCAGACAGTGGCTCATCTAGTGAAAATGCACCCAAAAGGAGGAAATTATTTTAACACTTGCTGCCTCAACAAGTTTGTATCAGACAGGCACGACAACACAGCACTTCTCACCCTTCATGGGCAACCTGAGTCAGTGGTGGAGTAAGAGATCTGCTCTATTGTTATCTCTTCTTCCCAATCATCAGTATCAATTTTTCCTTACCTCGTGTAACTTACCTTTAGAGGTAAGCAACCTAAGTTAATCAGCAGCCCAGTGGCATGACAGAGGTAGAAGACGAGATGGTAGAAAGCAGCATATGATTTGAACAGGAAATCTTATCAGGTTATCCAAATGCTAAATGTAATTTTAGTTTAAACCTTTTCATGAGCCTGACTTTTCAGGTAAGAAAAAAAGAGGTGAGCTCCTGCTTCACTTTGTCTGAAGTCCAGAAGCTGAGGAGAACACATGGGAGTTGATACAGCCCAAATCCTATATTTACTTTTCAGAAAATCCTTAGAGCTTCAAACAAGCATGCCAGATACACATTACTGAAAGGGCATATACTTCCCAACTGGAAGTATATTGCCCTACCCAGCTTCTTGCTCAGCACAATACATCAGTGCACATCATGCCACATTTGAAGAAAAAAAAAAGAGAGGAAAGCTTAGTTGTGAACTACTTCTCTACTTCTGCATGTTCTTCTGGCAGGAGACATGGGCTGCTCAGCACCATTAATGCTATTAGAAATTCAGCTCATCACCTCACTATTATTCAGTGTCATGGTAACAATTCAGCACAGCCACAGAGCCCTTCCAGACCTTTCATGTTCTTGAGTTCCCCCTGGCTCCTTACACACATACAAACACACTCAAATCCTTGCCTCCCAACTCTCTTTCAATTAAACATGCTTTTAAAAGAAAAGAAATACACAAGTTTTGGCCAGGCCAGTTTAGGAAAAAAAATTTCCATTTATTCTCTGTCACAAGACAAATCTTTGAATAAGGTAAATGCTAGTTAGTGTCTGTAGAATAATAAAGGATATAGTCTATTGTATATCTGTAGTATATAGCTTTTAGATAAAGCACACATTATTATGATTCAAAAGAAAATACAAAACACTGTTTTTAAATGCATGAATATACAAATATTAAAACTCAAAGGTCTGTAGAAGTTCCTGGAAGCAGAACACAGCAAACCCTACAAATCAGTAATCTTTTCAGAACGTTGTCATTTTATTTTTATTCCAACTCCAAGAACGTCAAGTTTCTGGCTTTGAAGTTGCTTATTAAATAGCGATAATTTACACTAAACAATAGACTGCTCTATTTAGTATTAATGAAATAAGTGTATGTCATATCTCTTATTTGCAAGTTTGTTTTAACAGAACAAATTGAATTTAAAATGCAGCAAAAAGATGTGCTCAGAGAAGAGCACTGTCCATCTGCCCAAGCAGCTCTCCTCCAGTTAAAACAGCCTAAGCAACTCTGAAGAGTGTTGTGTTCGCTTTGTGCCACCAGCTGTTTTGCCTGAATAAAAATAGTAAGATAAAGAAATATATAACTAGGAAGTCTCCAGGAAAAGAAAACCCACCAGTAATATTCTGAAGGGCATTCAAAAGCTAAATGATGTGCTTGAAAATGCACTGTCATTTAAAGATAATGTTGCTGATCAGAAA